AAAATTGCAATCATTGCACCCCGGCACGCGCTTTCTTTGCCCTCTTTTTCCTCATCATCAGCTTCTCTCAGAACATTTGTCCAGTGTGAGATGCACTAACCTGGATCATCGAGAAAGCGAGTTCGCAAAGCGAAAAAGAAAGAGAAAAGCAAGAAAGGGATAAAAGAGAAAAGAGAAAGAGGAAAGCAAGAAAGGGATAACAAATATAGAAAGACAGAGAAAGAAAGACACACATAAATGGATTGAAAAAAGCAGAGCAGGCTAAAAATGGCGAGAGAAAGAGCGAGAAATAGAGCGAACAAAGAGAAAGAAATAGAAAGAAAGAAGGAAAGAAGGATGGAGAGGAAGAAAAAATAAAAACAAAAATAGAAATTGGGGACAAGCAAAAACGACCACCCAGACCTCTCTTTCCTTCAGGCGGGACTTCAATAGTGCAAAGTTGCCTTAATACTTTTTTTGTTACACTCATCAATAAATGAAGATGCTTTGTGACGTGGAAACCGACAAGCCCCGTAGTTTACATGATACTTGTCCTAGTTCAGTTAACGCCTGTTTGTGTTTGTAAAACGCCTCCTAGAAAAACTATGCCGGGAACGTGGCTCTCTTTTCAATTGAGAGCTTGCTGCCAGCACAAAATCTTGGAGGCCATGCCTTATACCGCGTGTTGCGACTGTCCGCCACGTGGGAGCGCTCGCCTCCGTACCACTCCGTACCAGATGATGGCGCAGAGTTTTTCAAAGCACTGGGATTTAGGGACAGCGAGGGCAAAATAGACTTTAAGCGGGTACACTTCACTAGAAGGAGGTTATCTGATTGGTGGCTAAAGTCAAGGCACGAGTGAAAATTAAACCCTTCACTGCGAAGTACGAATCCTCAACTTCATTATTTAAAGGAAAAAAAAGATAAATGTAATGGTTAGTTTACTAAGTATTACGGCTAGGTGGCGTTAGCCGCCGCCCGATGTAAAGGGTACAGCCACATCCATCCATCCATCCATCCTCTCTCACGTGACATAACCGTACCGCTTTGTCACGTGAAATCACATTGATTGACATGTGGGGTTTAACGTCCCAAAACCACCATATGATTATGAGAGACACCGTCGTGGAGGGTTCCGGAAATTTCGGCCACTTGGGGTTCTTTAACGTGCACCCAAATTTGAGCACACGGGCCTACACCATTTCCGCCTTCATCGGAAATGCAGCCGCCGCAGCCGGGATTTGAACCCGTGACCTGCAGGTCAGCAGCCGAGTACATTAGCCACTGGACCACCGCGGCGGGGCACGTGACATCACAGCTGCTCGGAGGCAACTGTGAGAGCATTGCTGTGTTCGCAGGGGGCGACCGCCACAGGCGTTCACCTCCGTACCGGAGGGAGAGGGTAAAATCTGAGGGTAAGGCGGTGTTCGTGGCTCACGTTGCAGGCATAATTTTTATAGGAGGCGTTAGTTTGTATCACGGCCTTCGAGATCAGTTCCAGGAGCGCGCCGTGGGAGCCAAACACAGAGGCCACATTTAAAACAACGAGATTCCCGTGCGAAACTGGCAGGCTTTGACAGTTTTCTCACCGTACTTGTTGCATATCGCTTCTGCAACGTTGCACCTGATTTGAAACGGGGCATAGTTGTCAGATAGGCGATGAAACAAACTAGCTTGCACGTTCACACACTTGGCAGTGCTGAAATCACCGCAATGGCATAACTTCTTTGTTGTAAAGAGTAATTAAGAAACTATTTTAGTGCACTCATAATTTTTAACGCAATAAATGATTGCAGGCGACTCATTCAAGCAAATTATCGTTATATTTTACAATGCCTCTTGACCATACCACGGCACAGAATATACCACGGTCACTTCACCTATATATGGCCACAAAAAATAATTAGAAAAAAACACTGCGTATTGCGACGGGAACAAACAGCGCTGTACACGCCCTATCGTCACCCATAATGTCCTCCTATGACCATTCCGTGTGCATATAGCATTGTTTATTCTCGCCTCTATGAAGTACGTACCGATCAGCCCAGCTAGGTGCGCTCCATAACACAGACCAGTGCATCTAAGTGCAAGGCATAACGCGTAAGAATGAGGCAGGCCTACAGAAACATAGCGTAGTATCTAAACTTAAATACTCGAATCAGGTATTTCTTTTAGGCCCACGTCCCTCGAAACCCCAAGCAAAAGGTGTCGACGAACGTTTCTGTTGATTATTTTAACGTCACTCCATATCTTCTCGAATCATGGCGTTAATGCAATCATTACTTTCGGCCAGTTGTAACTTGCAATGCGATTTAATTACATTTTGAAAAATACCACCACAGCAACGACTAATGACGTTTAATTACTTTTTTGAGGAGTCATTTCACCACCTACGCCTTTTCATCGCGACGCTGCTGTCCACGCACCCAGAGCATGTGAGGTTCGGATGTTTGTCTTAAAAATCTCGAGTGTCGGAGGTCTGCGAGCAGCGCAAGAAAGCAAAAAAAAAAGAGCAAATTAGAGAAACCGTCAGGTTGCGCGGCATTTAAGCTGCGGAAGTGAGCTGTTCCCACTGAGGAGTCTTCTCGTTAGAGCGGCAGCTGCGCCCCCGGGCTCTCATTTCTTGTCGGGGTTTTCTTGTTGTGCACGCTCCATCCTTTCAGCTCCAAGTTGACCAAGCAGCCGGCGGGTCAACGACCTCCGAAGCTAATCCTTTCCAAGACACGGGCCTGACCCAGGGCTTCACACTAAGCGCGGACTAATGAGACTCACTGAGCCCGTGCACCTGCTAGTCCTCTCGATGACACAAACAGCAGCGCCTGAGTTGTGTAGCGTCCTTAATTTATTGAGCAAGTTTCGCGGTTGGCACGTTTGGGACCTGTTTCCCGTCTACTCTCAGGAGGTCCGAAGAGATCTGTCCTGGGACACTTCTTGTTTTTTTTTTTTTTGGCGTATATCAATGACACTTCTGGTGTCACAGAGCCAGGTGTGCAGCTTAACCTGTTCGTAGATTAGTGTTTATTTTAATCTACAGTACAAAAGAAGGAGTACCAAGTTAAAATTAATGGCTCCTTACAGGTGTTGTTCGAACGGTGCATGAAATACAATGCAAAATCAATTGTTCTATATCGACATACGCACATATTAGTACAAAGAAGCGCCATGTTTCGTTTTTATACACCGTTGGTAAGAAGTGCCTAATAAATACTACTCGATTTACATATCTAGGAATGATGATAACGCATAAATTATCCTGAACCATACTCATAAACAGTGCTTGTTCAGAGGCATACGAGAGTCTAGGCTTCCGGCGAAAAAAAAGAGTAGAGGACGCAACAGCAGATGTGAGACCTACTGCTCGCAAAACCTTTCTCCAGTTGTTGAGCACTTGTTGGTGGTATGGAGCCCTCACCAAAATTATATATGAAGAAAAAGAAAAAATTCAGCAGTGCGTGCTGCGATTTTTATGGTCCCGGTATCGAAGAAAAGGTTCAGTTACATAAATGCCCCGTTTTTCTGACCGTGACGTCAGTGGATAACGAAGGTATATGGCTGGTGCAAACTTGATAATCATGAAACCAGTGTCATGTAAGAACATGACAACGTATACCAGGTTGATAGAGTGCTCGCGGCCGTTACACTAGGTTCACATATACTAAATTTGGCATCTCCTGACGTGAATAGATGATGAAAGCAAACGACACATCCAAGCATGATAATCATGACCCGGAAGTGGTGTCCGGCATAATTTACCTCCACCTCGTAACGCTGTGATGACTTCAAAGTTGCATATCCACCTTCCTTATTTGTGCTTCGCATATCATCGATTCCCACTGTACGTGGTATGTGCCAATTTTTTCGGTACTAGTTTAGTATTAGTGGTGAAAATCAAGGTTCGAAGTGTCATTTTTAAATTGCGCACCGAAATCTGCGCTCGTGACGTAATAATGTATGCTTGGTAGTTTGGCGACATTGGCTCGATGAAGTTTTCTTGAATTTTGTGTGCTAGGGTTATGGCGCCCACAAAAAGCAATGTACCTCATTTGTCTTAATTAGAAGCTACGTAGGACCCAGTATAAAGCTTCAACATTTTTAACATCTCACTGGTTGGTCAGGGAATCACAAGGTGGCGTTTCCACTCGCACTTTCTTTTCGGGTGTTTCTCGCTTAGAGAGCGTCATGTCACTGGTGATGGATTCTGACAGTGTACTTTACAAATAAGTAAAAAAAAACCCTTTTGCTCTGTAGTATCCTTTTAACAGACTCTATATACAAAGTTCCAGTTCCGTGCAGTGCAAGGTATCGAAACAGCGAAGCGCTCTCGTACCATCTACCAGAGATGCCTGTGATGAACTGTTGCTAGCCTGATCGTATAGGAAGGCCTGGCCACACGTACGCGTCGCAGCGCGTCATTGCGTGGCGCGTAGATTCGGAGCTGTGCTCTCTCCCTAAGTAGGGAGAAGGCGAGTGGCTACGCGAAGCTGTGAGCCCTCCCTCTCTCCCCGTAGGAAGAGGGTGCTACCCTAAAGGCCTGACTATACGTACCCGTTGCACCTCGTTCGCGCGTAGCGTTTTGACGCGGCGCCACGCCCTCTCCCTATGGAGAAGAAAGAAAGGGCGAGCAACTTAGCGTAGCCGTGCACCCTCTCTCTTTATAGGAAGAGGATGTGGCATTGCGTTAGAAAAGCACGCGCCAATGTGCTGCTTCGGGTACGTGTGGTCAGGCATTTATATCCATAACCACTCATTTCACTTTCGCCGCACTTCTCTTCTTCGCGCCCAGTGCAGCTTTGCAGTGTTATCACCCCTCCGGGGTGCCTCCCCGGCCAACACAACCAAAAAATATATATAATCTCGTTTCGTCCACAAGTGACGTAGTTAAGCAGTGTATCCAGAAGGCGGAGCATGCCACGACGGTCACTCGCTTGTCATCTGGACCAGCTCCTTGACAGCTCCGCTGCTGGTCTACTTTCATTGGAAAAGGGTGACAGAGGAGTACGAAGGCGAAAAAAAACACTTACGTTGGCAGCTGTAGCCGTTAGAAGATAGCCGGTAGCCGGGCGTGCATCCACACTCGAACGTCCCGTCGTGCAAGTCAAAGCACATCTGTTGACACGGGCCGTCCACTCGGCATTCACCTGTGTCAGAAAGATGCAGAAGCACTTGTAGACACAGGCGTAAACAGGCGTGCCATCGATCGATATGAAATTCGTGATGACGAATAGTGCCGCGCCCTAACAATAAGTACGCTTCGTCAAGGCTGACCGTGACTCTTGTATAAAAAAAAAGAAAAAGGCAGTACAGGCAATTCCAAGCCGTGAGGACCGCCAGACAGTGAAGCTGTAAGCGCACGAGATTCCTTGGATCATCATCATTTTGATCATTTTGTTTTACTTTTTGCTTAGTTCACTCCTCCATCTGATCAAGTGACTCACGTGACGCGCCTACTACTACTACTACTATACTACTACTATTACTACTACTACTACTACTACTACTACTACTACTACTAATACTACTACTACTATTACTACTATACTACTACTACTACGACGACGACGACGACGATGACGGTGACTACAACAAAGGGTGGACTACGACCGGGGTCAACCAGACGCTTTAGATCTGCATAAGGCTTTATCCTCATAGAATTTCTTGGATGCGTTTGGCTTCGTTGCGGCTGACGCAGAGTGGAGCCAATCTTGTTGAACAGTATATGGTCAGCATTGGGTTTAACCGCAACCGGCAGTGCACGGTGTGACACCAGTGTATGTTACCGTTGCCGCAAAAAGAAGAAAGTACACCCTTATCCTCCACCACAGCCCAGTCGGAAGTGTGAAAGACGTTTTATTTTTCTGCTCGTAGCATTCAGAAGAAGGCTATTGAGAGATACTAAATGGTGTTGCACACTTGCAGGACTATCACAAAGAGCCTAATTCACTTAAGAAACGTTCTTCGTTGCGTTACTTCAACAACATTTCGAAAAAAAACGAGCAAAGTAAGTGCTCTATGCTGAAAAGAAAATGGCGTGAAGCTTGCATGAGTTGTAAATGTACGATGGTATGGTAAATAACGGCCTTGTTGCCATTTCCCGTAACCACCAGCTATGAGGTATCAGGAGAGTGAAGACAACAGGTTCGTCTAGTTTGTAAAATGGCTGAGACGGGGCATACAAGTGACTTTGATAATTACAGTCTGGGTATAAACACCTACACATGCATTCATACTGTGGGCTGTGAGTCAAGAGTGGGTAGGAAGCCAAGAGAGAGAGAGAAAATTAACAGTCTAAAAACAGCGCACTCTCTCCACTATGCAGAGCATTATTTCTTCAGTCCAGGTCTCGTTTGCCGTTAGCTACGTTTCTAGTTCATTATACCATCTCAAGCTCGTACATTGTACAACATTGAACAGTACTATACAACATAGACAGCGCTTTCACTTCGCGAAACGCGGCCTCCTCCTCGGGAGTACGTACTTTCTTATGGCGACCCAAGGTACGAACTGTATCGACACGACGCTATTTTTCTACTTAGCTTCGGGCGCGGCCGCTGCACAGTTGTTGCCCGGCGCACATACAGCGCCGCATGACGTCACCGGAATCGGCACGTAACGACGTTCGACATGGCACGAGCACTCCGGCGGGGCCGGTGCTACTAGGACACACAGACGGCTTGAAACGGCGTCACACCAGACGCGCGAGGCAAGTGGTTGCTAGGAAACGGTGCATCGAAATTTTTTTTTTTTTTAGAGATAGGGTCGGACGCAATACGGCTCGCTTAAGCATCTTCGCTGTCAAAAAATTGCTGTCGCCTTCAAGTCTGTTGCGACGAAAGTATAAAAGGATATAAAGGATCGTGAGAATTGTTAAGTGCACCTAACTCCAGAATGTCTCCGCTAATCGGAAACTCCCGATGAGTTCACATGTATGCGCTTCCCAAGACAAGATCAGTACATGGCTACTATGTCCTCTGTTAATGTATAGGGCCAGGAATGAAAGATAGCGAGGAGTGAATCAGGTGCAGCGCGCGGTACTCCAAACATTATTAAATACCTTCCCATCGTGAATAGCCTACTTTAAGATAAGCCGGATTATAACGCATCTATAGGCGAGAACAGCCGCGGCGCCGTAAATTAATGGCGCAGCAGCTTGCGTGTGAGCGGCTGCAAGCCCCCTGACGACCCAATTATGCCTTCGGGCGCAAAGAGATTAGCCTTGAGTCCGCATCGCTGACGCGGTGAGATTTCGGGCAATTCCAGGTGTCGCGTGTATGAGACGAGACACCGCGCAAATAATTAGTCGTACCAGACCTTTCCTTCCGTCTCAGGTTGAGCGCCCGTCCAACTGCTCCTTCGTATATTGATGCTGAAAGTCAAATTCTACACTGAAGAAATACCGGAGTGCGTAGCAGACTGTGCAAAGAGTTACTTTTATTACAATAAAATGCTTCATGGCTTTCGCCAATACATAAACTGGTGATTATTTGCTTTGATTATATAATTTATATACATGCTCTTTCCACAGTAAACATTCGTTAAAACTTTCATTGACTGAAATGAGCAATCTGCTGCCCCGTTGAGTAGTATGCATGTATGTATGTATGTATGTATGTATGTATGTATGTATGTATGTATGTATGTATGTATGTATGTATGTATGTATGTATGTATGTATGTATGTATGTATGTATGTATGTATGTATGTATGTATGTATGTATGTATGTATGTATGTATGTATGTATGTATGTATGTATGTATTTCTGCGTATGTATACAACTGTACTGAGTCCTTTTCCTTGTATTGAAACCCATATGTTACGGCAGCCAATGTAGCGTCAACCCGGTGAAATAGAAAGCTCGCTAATTAACCCCGTTCTAACAGACAACACCCGTTAGCCGTCGTGCGACCTACATTTATCTCATTAGCAGTTATAGTCGGAGAAATGGACGCACGTGGTTTTGTTAACCGCGCCGGCCGCTAATGCCAATGGCCTCATCACCGAAGTGATTCGGAACTCTAATAGCAGCAAACTCCAATTCGCGGGACTTCCACGCAAATTGGGAATAGGCGATCTAGTATAGTGCTCTTTATTATTTTATCTACTATAACAAGAAATACCTCGTTAACTGCTCGCAAAACGGAAATTGGAAGTGCGCACGTTTAGGCTACTGCAAATTCTAATCTTCAAAATGAGGCCTAAATGAGAAATGAAGGCAAGAGTGGCATACAGCTCCATGCAGGAACATTCATTCGACGAAAGGACAGAGTTCAACCAACTTCTGTAGCTTCTGCGACGGGTGAGAGGGGGCATGTGGGATAAGAAAAATAGCAGACACAACAAAATAATCCGAGCTTCGAGCTCAGCAGGCGCTATGATATTTTCTACTCCCAGGGCACGTTTCACCCCGACAAGGGGGGATTGCAGCTGTAGCGCCACCACGCGGCAGCGCCGTCTGCGCCAGTCCTCTAACAACCCTTGCTGGCCTCCTCCCACGCAGGGGCCACTTCATCTGGCCGTGCGTTAATTGGAGTTATAGCCCCTGCGCCGGGGAGAGTTGCCTTCTGGGGATCGTTCCGTTAATGGAGCCACCGCTGACTGCGCAGCGCATTACAACGGCGTCCGACTTCTCGCGTTGGTCTCTTTCGCTTTTCTCCCATAGCTCAGTGTTTTGTTTCACTCTCAGTTTTGTCTTCTACCGAACCATCCAAGCGGAAACCTAAAACTGACCCCTCTCACCACTACACCCTGACTTACATCCTACAGCGACTGCGTGGCACAGCCAGTCGAAGGAAGCTTGTGGAAAACTGCTTCGCACAAAATGTCTGCGCGCAGCCGCGGTGAAGCGCCGAAGAGAGTTCTGGTCACTTTTCGTTCATTAGCCGCTCATTTTCTCTCGTATACGGCACGTCTTCTATACATATTTCCACAGACGCGCTTTCGAGGGGGTAAGGAAGTGTAGCTTTCGACTTGGCAGCTGAGTTTCAGTGCGATGTTCGCGAGAGGACGGAGTGCTCAACTGCTCAACAGAAACGTGGCACATTCTTAGGCTATAGTCAGTTAATAGATTCAGCAATTTTTTTTAACTGCGCAATGACGACGGAACGAAATGTACATATAAGAAGCGCTTTGTGGTCTGTGTCCGTGTTCCTGTTATCTTCCAATAAACAGAGAATCGAGGGCTCGCTGGGAAACCAAGAACAATGCATTATCAAACTCGTCGATTCTGCGCGTCAGAGCGTAAGTGAAATCAGCCACGCAGAAAAGTGAACCGTTCTTAGCAAGGTTTAGAGGGTCGTCGGCTGCTCGCTCCCGGTCGCTCGTCTTGTGTAGTATATGCAAGCAGACAGAAAAATCAAAAGAAAAAAAAAAGTTGACTGGTTAAGGTAGTTTCGCTTGGTTTTCTACCCTAGATCGCGGAGTACTTACGGCAATGTCAGTGCACAACAAGAGTATTCTCTGCCCTCCTATGAAGCGCGAAGTCGGTATTTTTTAACAAATAAACTGACACCAGCCATGTACGGTGTTTTTACGCTACATTACGATCGTGAGTGCCGACAGGATTTTGTTTTGGCGGGTGCGAATCTGTACAGCGTCGCGGCTGTGAGAGGTAAAGCGCACTGCTGTGGTTTGGGTCGGGGGCCAGTGCTGATTTGGCTTGAGAGCAGAAAGTTCCACTTTTGCACCGCCGCCCTCACTATGAGTGGAGTTGATTGTACCGTTGTAGAAGTAATGGTAAACGGTGACGAGCGGTCGATCGTTGTTCGTATATAGGCATATATATACGCTGCAGTGCATATATGCACTGCAGCGTTTTTTGTATTGAGTTGCAGTGATGTATTTTACTGGGTAAACTCAGCAGTTGAAAGCACCAAAATGGTTCAGTCTACGTTTCATGCCTATTTCTACACAGCAGGATGCCAACCCTGTGTAAAGGCGCGTTCAATACCACTTGCAACAGGGGAGCGCGTAGCCTGACGAGTTCAAAGTTTGCGCAAAGGTTCAGGTTGTTTCTATTTCAGCAGCTGAATATGCGTTAAGTGATGAAAATAGGGGCTAGTGGAAGTCATGTGCCATCTTTGAACTCGTGAGGCCATGCACTCCCGTGTTTCAACTCATATTGAGCGCGACTGTCCTGCTGC